ATTTCATAGCAGGTCGAGACGACAGAGGTAATCAGTCGTGGTTTCGTCGTTACCAATACTCGAATACCGTACAGATACGTAGAGAAACTGGGTTTAGATGAATCTCTTGAGATAACAATGTTAGAGGGACTATCATTTCGTATGAAAGTGAAAAAATAACAGATTCGTTGGTCGGTCTCACCAGATGAGGACGGATGAACCTCGATGTACTGCAGCCGTTCGGCCCTTATACGATATTCATTTTGGCGCAGTCAACAAGACTTCCCCCTCGTTTCGGGTAAAACGATGCTGAGATTTCGTCCATCATATGATGGACATCAGCATAGCTGGGTGTCAGTCTTGTAAGTCTCGCGTTAACACTAGGCCAAGAACACTATCCGGAACTATCTTACTTCTTATACAATATGAAAGTCCCCTCGAATACCTTAATCACGTAAAGAAAAGTGGGTTTGTCAATTCTGAACATATTTATCTAAACGCTATTTTGTAACCCTCATTTGTTAAATGTTAGGCAAAGCACGGTCTTCAGTGTATAAGTAACTAATTAAACCGTGAAAGATCTTATAAGGACGAACCACAACCTAGGTTTATTATTTATCGACAATGATAAAGTTACCAGCATAGTGATTCTCCGGCTGTGGATTATTTTAGTTACAAGACTTTCTCGCAAGAATAATTCATATAATAAATACGTATGTATTAAATATCTTGTTCTGCAACTTTTTCAGCTTTTCGAAGCTGCTTTCTGGCAGCTTCAGCCTTTTCACACAATTTTACAAGGTAAACTAACTTGCATAAAAATGACAAAAGCAGTAGAAAGTCTCCAATTATTAGAAGGTAAAAACTGAATCTAGGTGATAAGGTGGTTAGATTGAATTCGGCTGTCTGTGCACTTTGCTGGTAATCTTTTGGATCTTCAGAACCAATTAAGGCCTTATCCACATCCGATTGTAGAATAAGTTGATTGTCCAGCAGCAATTTTGTAAGCATCGAGTCACCATGGTCATGAATAATTTCGATTTGGCTTTCAGCTAAACTTAGACCAGTAAGCAGGAATACGACTGAAAACAAAGTCATATAGATTTGCATAGGTCAATAGAGCAACTTTGGTATATACATTAACTTCTTAGGACTCACCTGAAAACAGCACACATAAAACGTCAACTAGAACAACTCCCCATCCGCGCTTGCCTCGACGGCAACAAGAGAAAACCGCATAAACAATATATGCAGTGATTGCGCAGAGGATACCAGTCAAGGTAAGGCCTCGTGTAGCTAACCAGCGAAAGTCTAAACAAAGCAGATGTCGGAAATTAAAATTAATTTAAGAAGAAATAGGCATATTCAGTTAATATAATTATCATTTTAACTAATTGATATTCTGGTATGCCCGTTAGAATATCTATCACTAGCAGAATTATCAAAACATCATAATCACATCTATAATGTAGACAGTACCATTCAACCGTAGATCATGTTCCAATTCGGTCCACTTATTT